AGTGTCAGAGGAGAGAGAAATATTGCAAAGGTGAAATCAACAGGCCTTCCTTGGCAGAAGATGACAATAGGGAGGTAGATGAGGCTGAGCCGCTGAGGATAAGCCTGGGTTCCTGGGTTAGGAGCCTTGATAACTGGGAGGATGATGGTGTCTTTGACAATAATAAAGTTAAGAAGAGGGGAGGGTTTAGGGGGAAAGATAATGAAGTAATTTTTGGACATGTTGAGTTTAAGATGTTTACTGGACATCCAGTTTGAAATGTCTGATAGACAATTGGAGATATGTCAGAAGAGAGATTAGTGCTGGATAAGTAGATCTGAGAATCATGAGCAGAGAAATGATAATTGAATCCATGGAACTGATGAGATCACCAATGAAGCAGGACGAGGAGAGAAAAGGGCCCAGAACAGAGCCTTGGTGGACAAACATGGTTGGGTGGTATGACCTGGATGGAAGGAGACTGAGGTAGGAAGAGAACCAGGAGAAGGGAGGTGTCCTGAAAACCTAGAGAAAACAAAGAATCCTAGCTGTGGGACCCTGGGCAGGTCACTTAACCCCAACTGCCTCACTGAAAAAAAAAAGAGAGAGAGAGAGAATCAAGGGGGAGAGGGTGAACAACAGTGTCAAAGGCTACAGAGAGGTCAAGGAGAAAGAATTGGGCAAAGGCCATTAGATTTGGCAACAAAGAGGTCATTGGTAACTTTGGAGAGAGCAATTTCAATTAAATGATGATGTGAAGCCAGACTAGAGTCAAGAAGAGAATGAAAGGAAAGGAAATGAAGGCGTCTATTGCAGACAGACTTCTCATGGAGGTTAGCCATGAAAGGGAGGCGAAACATAGAATGATCATGATGATAATAATAAAATAGCTAACATTTACGTAGTACTATGAGTCAGGCACTGTGCTGAGTGCCTTACAAATATTATCTCATTTGAGACACACAGTGACTCTGGGAGGTAGGTGCTATTATTCCTATTTTACAAATGGGGAAACTGAGGCCAACAGAGGTTAAGTGACTTGCTCAGGGTGACACAGCTAGGAAGCATCTGAAGCCACATTTGAATTCAGGTCTATCCTGATTCCAAGACAAGTACTCTACCCACTGTACCATCCAGCTACTAGGTTGTATGGCTAAATAATCCTAAGTGAGTTTAAGAGCTTAAAAAAAAAAACAAGTGAGGGTTTTTAAGGGACAGCTAAAACATGAATGTGTTTGTAGGCACTAAGGACAAGGCTAGCAGACAGGGAAAAATTGAAGATAAGTGAGAGAGTAGGGCTGGATAAAGGGGGGCAATTAGCTAGAGAGGATGGGAAGGAGTGGGATCCCTTGAGCAGGTGGAGGGGTTAGACTTTGCAAGGAGAAAGGCCACCTTATTATGTGAGACAAAGATGAAGTAGCAGAAGGCTTCTGGGTGCTGTGAGGAGAGGAGAGGAGAAGAGGGAGCTCTCCAAAAATGACCTGAATTTTATCAGTAAAATACAGATCAATCTATCAGCTGGGGATGGGGGGAGCCATGGGAGATTTGAGGAAAGATGAAAAGGTTTGGAAGAGCCATTGCAATGAATGAGATAGTGAATCAATTAGGGAGGATTGCCTTGCTGCAGCAAGAGCCCAATAATTAAAAATTAAATAACGTAAATTTGTAGTGGTCCCAGTAAGCACAGATTCATGATTTATTCCAGCTTTATTCAGTGGCATGTGAAGAGGAGTGGAGGCCAAGCTGAGAGGTCCACATAGTCCAATCTCTCTTATTTTTTTGGGGGGGGGTGAGGCAGTTGGGGTTACGTGACTTGTCCAGAGTCACATAGCTAGTGAGTGTTATGTGTCTGAGGCTGGATTTGAACTCAGGTCCTCCTGACTCCAGGGTTGGTGCTCTGTCCACTGTGCCACCTAGCTGCCCCTCCCTCCTCATTTTTTTAAAATAAAATTTTATTGATCTGTTTTTATTTCCTTATGCAACCTTATCTCTTGCCTTTTCCTTCCCAACTATATATCCCAGTTTATCTCTTCCTTTTCCCCTCCCAAATTCTTCTCTTGAAATAAAGAATAACAATCAGAGGGAGGGGGTCTTGTCACTGGACTCTGAAGATTCTGGAGGAGAGAGTGAAGCTGATGACTTTATGCAGCTCTGCCTCACTTAAACCCAATTCACTTCCAAGTCAAGACAACCCCTTTGGATGTCATTGGTTCCCTTTGAGAACGAAGGACAAACACTAATTTGGTTAGATGCTGTGCTCCACACCCACCAGCTCCCTTCTTAACAAAGAAGTCAGGACAGCACCTTCTCCCAGCTCTTTTCTGGAGCCCAGTTTGGTCATTGAAAATTTCATAACATTGTTTCAATTCCACTTACACTGTCATGGTCACTTTGTATATTGTTTTCCGGGTTCTGCTTATTTCATTCTATATCAGTTCAGGGAAGCCTTCCCAGGCTTCTCTGTATTCATCATTTCTTCCTAGACAGAAATATTCCATTATGTTCATGTGTTCAATTTGCTTAGTGATTCTATTAAGTTTGTGTGTTCAATGCGTTTGTGATTCCCCAACTGATGATTTTTAAAAAGCTGCTATAAATATTTGGTCAATATGGGGCCTTTCTTTTTATCAGTGACCTCCTTGGGATATGTGCCTAACAGTGGAATCTCTGGGTCAAAGAATAGGGATTTCTCAGTTACTCTCTTTGCTTAATTCCAGATTGCTTTAAAGAATAGTTGGGGGGAACAAAAAAGAATAGCTGGAGAGGCAACTAGGTGGTGCAGTGGATAGAGTACCACCAATGGATAGAGTCAGGAGGACCTGAGTTCAAATGTGACCTCAGACACTTACTAGCTGTGTGACCCTGGGCATGTCACTTAACTTCAATTGCCTGAAAAAAATAGCTGGATGAATTTGCAGCTGTGCTAACAAAATGCCTGTCTTTCCACAGCTCTGCCAACATTGACTACTCCCTTCTTTTCCCATCCCTGCCAATTTACTGTATGTGAAGCAAAACCTCAGGGGTGTTTTGATTTTAATTTCTCTCACCACTAGTAATTTGGAGCAATCATATGGGTGGTAATAGTTGGCGATTCTTCTTTTGTGAACTGTTTATTGTCCTTTGATAAATGACCTATTAGTAACCCTTTTCCTTTTAAGGAAGAGAAAACCGAGGCACAGTGCTGGGTCCAGAGTCAGGCAGACTCATCTTCGTGAGTTCAAATCCAGCCTCAGACACTTACTAGCTGTGTGACCTTTAAGTCACTTAACCTTGTTTGCCTCAGTTTCCTCATCTGTAAAAATGAGCTGGGGAAGGAAATGGCAAACCACTCCAGTATCTCTGCCAATAAAACCCTAGATGGGGTCATGGAGAGTCAGACATAACTGGAAAATGACTTAAGAGATCGATAATCAATCAATTAATAAATATTTATTAACCACCTTCTGTGTGCCAGGCACTATGCTAAGAGCTGGGGATACAAAAAGAGACAAAAGACAATCCCTGGCCTCAGAGAGCTTACAGTCTAATGTGGAAGACAACATTCAAACAAAAATCTACACACAAACTATATGCAGGATAAATAGGAAATAATCAGTAGAGGGAAGGCCCTGGGATTAAGAGGGCTTCCTGGAGAAGGCGGGATTTTAGTTGGAACTTAAAGGAAGCCAGGGAGGTCAGTAGGTAGAGCTGAAAGAGAGGTGACTTGCTCAAGGTCAAAAGTAGAAAGTGGTCAAATTGGAACTCACATTTGGAGAGTGGGGTAGGGTGGAGTTTTTCTCTGGGCTGTAGCTCTTTCCTGACCTGTCTAGGCTGTGAAGGGTAGGGTGACCCCATCCCCAGGTTCAGAGACAGACACCCAGTAGGAAGGTCCTGCTATTTCCTTGGGGGTTGTGCTAGACCAGGGGTGGGGAATCTGAGGCCTTCAGTCAAAGGGCCACACTTGAGGACCTAGAGGGCCTCGAGGCCACCGGTTCCCCACCCTTGTGCTAGACCACAGGTCCTTACACTCTGTGCTGAACTGAACCCCACACCCAGGGTCAGCCCAGGCCAGGTTTTATAGCTGAGTAATAAACACTTGAGGACTTGGGCTTATAATGGAAATACTTGCTAGTCCATTAAGACTGGATGCTGCAGGACACAGCAATGATTGACTCAGAAAGCTGAAAATCAGTGAAGTATTTCTGGGTAGCCGTGCTGGCCTTCTCCAAACCAACCCCAAGAGGAATCAAGCACCCCTGCTCCCTCGAGCCCAGAATGGCCAGCAGTCTCAACTCTCCAAACCCCACCGTGGGCCTCTTAAGTGATAATCTTTCACCTTCACACTGTCCAGGACCAGAGAGCGGAAAATACCCACACGCTTAGTCTCATTCAGACCACATCAGAATACACGTTCAGTTCTGGGCTCCAAATTTGAGGAAGGACGTAAATAAATTGCACCGTGCCCAAGATGATGAAGAGTATGGAGATTACATTTTATGAGAATTAGCTGAAGGAGCTGGGAATGCTTACCCAGGAGAAGAGAAGGCTGCTGGGGAGAAAAGTGGAGACATGATAGCTATTTTCAGGTATTATCAGGGATGTCACATAGGAGAAGGATTAGCCTTGCTCTGCTCCGCCTCAGAGGGTAGAGTGAGGCACATTCAGCAGAAGTTATAGAAAGATCCATTTCAGCTTGGTGTAAGGCAGTGCTGTCAAACTCAGATGGAAACGGGCCAGTGAGGTACACACAGATTCCCATGGGATGCATATTGACTTTGTTGTTTGCTGAGTTGTTTTCAGTCCTGTCCAACACTTCGTGACCTCATTTGAAGTTTTCCCGGCAGAGATAATGGAGTGGTTTGCTATTTCTTTCTCTAGCTCATTTTACATATGAGGAAATTGAGGCAGAGTCAAGTGACTTGCCCAGGGTCACACAGCTAGGAAGTGTCCAAGGCTGGATTTGGACTCAGGTCCTCCTGATTCAAGGGCACCCCCATCTACTTCACCACCTAACTGCCCCCATATTGACTTGGAAAACCACATATCAGTATTATCTACATTCTATTGTATTTTTGTCTTGTTAAATATTTCCCAATTACAATTTTAATCACCTGGCAGTTGGAAGTATTGTTAATTAAGGTTAATTAGTTGTTAATTAAGGTTAAATATTTCCCAATTACAGTTAACTTTTGTGGCATTTGACTGGTATGGTATAAGCAATAGCGTCATTATAGTTAAAGCTGTTACCAAAGTACAACGAGCTGTCTTGGGAAGTCACTGGAAGCCTTCAAGTAGAGGCTGAGGACCACTTGGTGAAGAGGTTGCAGGAGAGGATTTCTGTTCAGTGCTAGGGCAGACTAGATGGCCTCAGGGGGTCCCTTGCAATTCTGAGAGTCCGTGGTTCTGAGGCCCTCCCTGGCCACTCATTCAGAATGCTAGCCTGATCTTCAGCAAGGCTGCCATTGGACAGAGAACAAGATTGGGGTGGCTGGATGGCTGAAATTGAGACACTTCTCAGTTCCATGTGTTCCAAGGAAACTCTGTGGTTTGTCCTAAATTTATGTGCTGAACTAAAAAAAAAAGGTGACCTTAGTTACTTTCTGCCAGGGTCCCGAGATTTCTGATGTACCTGAGAAGAGCTTAAAAAATGTTGAGAAAAAAAAAAGTTCAGATGTAATTGTCTGATGGTAACCACAACCCACCCTCTGCTGGGGTCTCAGGCAACTCTCAGCACAGGTCTATCCACACAACTCCCTAAGAGAAACCCACAGCAGACAGATCATAGATTTAGAACTGAAAAAGATCATTTGCTCCCACCTTCTCATTTTATAGATGATCAATTGGGGTCCCAAAAGATTAAGGGAATTACCCAAGGTCACACAGATCATACATAACAGCTCCAGGATTCACACGGAGGGCCTCTACTTTTTTTCCCCATTCCACACTTTTGCCCTAAGGAAAGGAGGCTCAGACATAAAGCTATTCAGGAACACTACCTCTACAGAGCCACACAAAGAGTTGTACCTCTTCATTCTCTCTCCTTGCAATATACACAGCTAGGCGCTGCAGCTACCCAGATACCAGCCCAGAGCTCCAGCTTTTCCACGAATTTACAGGCTATCTGTTCAGATGGCTATTAGCAGCAGGTACTGTCTTCCTGCCCCCCTCACCCCCCACAGCCCAGTTGCCCTGACTCTCAGATTTTGGTAATATTTTTATCGACATCTTATTACTTTATGAATTTTTGTTTGGATAGAATGGACACTTCTCAACCAGTCCCAACCAATCCTCAACCCACCAATCCAATCATCCCTTCAAATAGCCCTGCCCTGCCCACAAAGTAAATTCCCCTGAAAACAGTTATCAGGTATAAGTTATCAGTTAAGCAATGCCACCTAACTACGGGAATGTGACTGATGGTCCACAACTCTTTCTATTAGCACTTAAAATGTCTTTTTCTGTTGTCTTTCAGTATCATCTTTATTTATATTGCTGTAGTCAGATTTTTCCTTTGCTAAACCTCATCTTCTGAATTTTATCATCTCTACTATTCTTTTAAAAAGGGCCTATAACTTCATTTGTGAGGGGGAGGGAAAGGAGGAGAATTTCTAGTATGGAAACTCCCTTCATCAATACAGATCAGCAAATTGATCTGTAATTTAGTGTTAGAGATTTACCTGGGAGACTTTGAGGTTGTGACTTGCCCAGGATCACATGGCTGATGTGTATTAGGGAGGCAGCCTGAAGTCTTCCTGACTCCAACGTCTTCATCCATTATTCCAGGCTGTCTTTCTTCTTTCATTTAAACGTGATATTTTGAAGAGACGTTCATTCTTTAAATTGATTTTATTACCTTTGGAATGCCACTCCTCCCTCCTTCTCCAGGGAGACATAGTGCTGATCTGATAATGCAAGTCAGTGAGAAAATGGGATTTGATATACAGAAATTTGATTTACAGAAAATATCTCACAGAGGAAAACAGTCTGGTCCATGGAAAGAACACTAGACTGAGTCAGAGGACTTGGGTTTGAATCCTACTTATGATCTAGGGCAAGTCCCTTCCCCTCCCAGGGCTCAGTTTCCTCATCTGTAAAATGGGAGGGAAGTGGATGGACTAGATGGTGGTTCTGTAACATTCCTGCTCTTTAAAGAGGCAGTGTGGCATAATGGATAGTGTTGTCTTTTGGGTCAGGAAGAACTGGGTTCAAATTCCTCTTCCTTTGCTTAATAGCTGTATGATTCTGGGCCAACTCATTTCAACTCTCTGAGCCTCAGTTTCCTCATCTGTAAAATAAAACCCCTCATCTGTGATAATACTTCATGATGGGGCAGCTAGGTGGCACAGTGGATAGAGCACCGGCCCTGGGTTCCAGAGGACCTGAGTTCAACTCTGGCCTCAGACACATAACACTTACTAGCTGTGTGACCCTGGGCAAGTCACTTAACCCCATTGCCTAGCAAAAAAAAACCCCAACAAAAACCAAAAAAAAAAACTTCATGGGCTTGTTTGGATCAAAAGAGTTGCTATGTAAAATGTTTTGTAAATTTGAAAAGGCTATACTAATATTCGTGATTATGAATATCAAAGGAAGCCCACTTGTAGTTATAAAACAATTATCTGGGTCTTGAAGAGAGGCTTCTCCCTTGAACTGCTGGGCTTGGTGGCTCCCTGAGGCCATAGGTTTCCTTTGGGGCTCTCCAGGCTAATCCCCAGCTGGGGTCCATCCAGAACCATCAGGCTGGCTAAGAGTTGCCTGACCTCTGCTGACAGCAAGGTCACCATAAGGGTCCAGCCTTTCACTGCTAAGGGTTAGGCACGAGCAGCCCCTCTAGATACAGAAGGGAGGGGAGCACCTGAAGACCCAGGATGCATCAGGACCTTGATTTTGGGGTACTCCCAGCTGTGTGTGTGTGTGTGTGTGTGTGTGTGTGTGTGTGTGTGTGTGGACTGAGGGAGGTGGAACGTGCTTGAACTGACCCGAGGCTCACATGTACATGAGGGTGTTACCGTGGCCCAGAGAGGGACTTGTTCCCAGACCTCTTTCAATGTTTCTCTTCTGAATGTACAATGTCCCCCCACCCCCACTCAGGCCTCAAAACCACCGCTGACTACTGCTGCTATGCCCTGGTCTGCTGCTGAGAAGGGAGCTTGGAGTGGTATAGAGGGACCTCCCTCTGACATGTGTGGACCAAGTTACCCTGGATAAGTACCATCTCTCAAAGGCCCAAGTAACTCCCTAGGGTTATAAATTGCAGACCAGATGCTGGTCTAATACCTGCCAGGTAGAAGGAGTCTCTGCTGCTCCCTTCACCCGGAAAACACAGCTCCAAACCAAAATAATAATGATAATAACAATAATAATGATAAGCAGTCAGGTTCCCCACCCCTGGATCACATTAAGGTTTGCGTAGTTTTCAGGCTACATTATTTCCTTTGAACCTCACAATAAACCTTGGGAAGTGGGGAGGGCAGGAAGGGAATGAATGGACCTGTGCCTTTCTTTCTCAGTGTGGGGATCTCCAGAAGGGAAACCTCCCTCCCTCTAAGCAGAATGGCTCCTCCTCTGAAAGTTATAGTCTTAGAAAGCTGCCTGGGGTCCTAAGGCTTTAAGTGACTTGGCCAGGGTCTAACAGCAAGCCTGAGCAAAGGGTTTCCTGGTGCTATTATCCGCATTTTACAGGCCAGGCAATTCAAGCTCAGAGAATGCAAAAGGGCTTTGTTGAGGGGTGTAACACTGTTAGTAAGCGTCTGAGGTGGAATTCGAACTCAAGACTTCCTGACTCCCACTCCGTCGCTCTTTCCACCTGGTCACATTTCTCATGCAGTACGTACACGTTGTACTCTCCAGAGAGAGAGATTCTCTTCTTCCCCCCACCCTCCAGCCCTGGTCCCCACAGCGGTTCCTCTGCATCCGCGGGGCGTGGGCGCTGGGCCCGAGGCCGGGAGGGTGTGGGGAGCCGCAGCAGCTGCGATAATTGAAACCTGTCCGCGGGCGGCTCCCGGGCGCCCCCGATTTGGTTGCGGGGCGGCCAGCCCGCAAACCGCGGCCACAGGGCCGACTTCATCGCCCACAGATTCGCTCTTTCCGGGACAAGCCTCCCTATTCCCACTAGAAATGACACCCTCCCATCATAGACCCCCTCCAACCCGCAGCAAAGCTCCCTCTTCCTAGCAATGCCTAGTACCCCTAGTAATGTCTCTTCTCCCAGCACAGACCCCTCCCCAAGAAATGTCTCTATCCTCAGCACAGATCCCACCTCTACCCACCACCAGCAAAGACCCCTCCTCTCAACAATGTTCCCTTGCCTAGTAATGTCCCTTTCCTCCCAGCAGTGACCCCCCCCAAATACCTATTCCCCACCCCAGCAACTCCTCCGGTCTCCCCCACCCCCAACACTTTTCTTCCCTCCCAGCTCCCCATCCCAAGCCAGTATAAGCTGTCCCTTTTTCCTCCCTCCCCTCACTGTCCCTGGACAGAAACGCCGGGGGCCAAACAGCTGTGCAGAGCCGGGGTCGGCCAGCCCTCCCCAGCCCTAGGACAACACAATTTTTTCTGATGAATGCTTTTGCCGTCAGTTTTCAGTTCAGTAAGACAGCTAGAAGTGTGTGTGTGTGTGTGTGTGTGTGTGTGTGTGTGTGTGTGTGTGTGTGTGGCCTCTGGAGGCTGGGGGGCCAGAGGCTGGCGGGGGTGGGGGGCGGCGTCGGACTGAGGACTGCGGTGCTAATGATACACTCAGGGAATTCAGGAGGAGGGGCAGGTGGGGGGAGGGATGAGCTCAGTGTTGGACGTGGGGAGCTCTGAGTTTGAGGCTGGGGCAGGAAGAACGCGGAGGGGGGCGCCTCCCTTTTATACGGCAAGTCCTGCCCTGTGTGGGTGTGCTGGGCCGAGGCGCCAGCGTGTGTTTGTGGGGCGGGGGAGGGGGCCTGCATAGTCCTGGCTGCTGGGAACCCACGGCCTCCCCACTCCCTTCCTCCCCCTTTTCTTCCCCTCCTCCATCGCCAACACCCTGTGGAGGTGCCTGACCGGCCGGGCAGCCCATTGCTCCCGGCTGTAAGTCAGCCCTCTGGGTCATGAAACGCACTTGATGTGAAACAGACATGTCAACATCAGGCCCCACATGCCAATTGGCTGGCCCATTCTTTCCCCCTCCCCCCATGCCGGCCCAGTAAGGCCTGGGCCTCCCGGAGTCGCGCCCCTCATCCCTCCCTCCCCCTCTCCCCCAGCCCGGGGCGGCTGAGCTGTGGGGGAGGGAGGAACAATTACCGTAATTACTGCAATTACCTTAATCACCACTTGGGCCCGAGCAGCCGCTGACAGCCAGGGGTGCTCGCCAGTCTGGGTCTACGAGACTTGCTCCCTCCCTTGCCCACCCAGGCAGGTGTCAAACCTTAGACTTCCAGGCCCTGGCAATCCTGGGGGCCCAGTCCTGTTACCCTCTGCCCCCGCCTCAAACCTTATGAGTGATTGAACACCCTGTTAGGAAAAACATGAGGCCCACCTCTGCAAAGACAGTGACCTCCTCCCACCCCCTCCTGCTTCTCCCTTTTTTTGCACACCCTCCGTATAAGGGGGAGGGGGGTAGACAATCCCGCTTCCTCCAGCAAAGATGCAAACATTCATCTCCCCCCCTCCCCCGGGTACCTATATACACACAGCAGATATACATACCCAGCAGGGGTGTATACATCAGTCACACACTCCGCAGGGCTCCCTCACACCGAAGGTACATGCACACCCAGCAAGGGGGCACACATTCATACACAGCGGTGAGCATGGGTGCACACTCATACCTGCCGCTAAGCACACATACGCACACCTAACGTCTGCAGGCACGGAGCAGACGCACGATCAGTAGACACACACCTAGTTGCCCCCAGAGGGAGTATCCACCCCCAGTGGCCACACGCCCAGGGCATGAGTGCACACACACGCGGGCGCACCCAGACACAAGCCAGTGGCCTCCACTGCCCAGGGGCGCCTCCATTCCCCCACATACAGAGCCACACTCATAGCCAGCACACGCACAATCACACCCCACAGGCCAGGCAGTTGATGCCTGTGGGGAGACAGCATCCTGTTTCCAAGCCTGCCCTCGGGGCTTGTCTGTCAGTGGCTGCCTGCCGGGTGGGTGGGCGGACCGGGGAGGGGAGAAGGGGGGGAGACGCTCGGTCTCTCCCCGGCTGTCAGGGAGTGAGGTCGTTAGCCCTGCGCTCCAGGGGGCTGCTAATTAAAGCCGGATCCCCCGCCCCCCAAATTTCTCTGCGGCAAAAGCGGGGCGGGGGCGGAGGTGGCGGCGGCTCGGAGATCCCTGGCAGCGGGAACGGAGGCGGTGGCGGGGAGAGCGATAAGGCGCTAATAAGTTATGTTCGAGGCCCCGCTCACGCCGTCGGCGGCAGCGGCGGCAGCAGCAGCGGTGGGCGGGGGGTGGGGGTGGGGGGGAAGCGGGAACAGGGGGACCAAAGGCTCCGCCCAGCTCGGGAAGACAGGCCTGGGTTATTGCACGAATTTTTCACGGCCAGGGAGTGAGCGGCTCATAATCAGATCGTGCTGCCTGTACTTTTCATTGGATTTCTGTGTATAAATTCCCGAGCCCGTCCACCCCAGACTCCAGGGAACAGTGCAGCTGGCGGGGCGCCCAGCCGCCAACCTAGCAAAGCAATTCAGGGTGCCCCGGGCACCTCAGAGGGATAGAGGGCAGAGAGCCTCCCCTCCCCACCCCGCCTGGGTGGGGCCAGCCACCTGGTTTCTGGTCCTAACCCTCCCCACCTCAGCTGGCTCCCTGTGGTCTACTGGTGAACCCCTTCCCTTTTCTGGGCCTTAGTTTGCTCCCGCGATCTGGTGCTGGAAACAGCGCTGGACAAAGGACCTGGGTTCGAATTCTCAGAAGGAAAAGAACGGGGCTTCTAAGGTCCCTTCCTGTTGGAATGTTGGACCATTCTAGGATTGTCCACAGCTGGATGGCCCAGAGACAGAATCGAAAATTTTAGAATTGAAAGGAACCTTGAAGCCAGTCTCACCAGCCCTCTTCCATCATTTTACAGATGAGGAGACTGTCCCACAGTCAGTGAGTGTCTGAGGGGGGATCAGAACTCAGGTTTTCCTGAATCCAGGGCCAGTGCTATATCCACTAAGTGCCCTATCCTGACCCCGAGTAGACATGAAAACTGATCCCAGCCCCAGTGTCCTACAGTCTGGCTACAGCTCTGGCCTCAGTTACCTGCTGAGAAGTACTGTGCCCTGGCACTAAAGGGTGGGTGAGGGCTGAGGGATAGGGCCCAGGAAAGGGTGGGGAAGGGCTGCCTCAAGAGCTGGTGAGTTCTACCTCTGGAGGTCTCTGGGAAAAAGCTGGCTGACCATTGGTTGGGAATGATATCATGGAGATTCCTTTCAGGGTATAAGATGCTGCTGAGGTCTGGGACAGCTCTCAAATTCTGAGCGGTGGGGGAGTTGGGGAAAGGGAATCAGGTGAGGAGTGGTGGTCAGGACAGGGCTTAGCACATCTCCACATTTTTCCTATGTCAGGAAATGAAAGAAGTGATTAAGGCACAATTCACTTTCCTACTCTCCAGGCAGATACTCAGAAAGGGGATCATGGGGTCATGCTCCCCTCTGGCTCTGCCTCCCCACCTCGGAGACTGAAGGCTCACTGGGCCTGGGTTCAAATCCCACCTCTGACACTACCCATATGCCCTTGGACAAGTCCCCTAACTTCCTCAGCCTCAGTTTCTTCCTCTGTAAAATGAGGAGGTTGGAGTAGATGGCCTCTAAGCTCCCTCCCAGGTCCAGTTCTGTGATCCCATGACTGTCTCTGATAGGCCTAGTCTGTTGGCCTCATTGCGTAGAAGATGAAGGTCTCCCCCCAATATCCTGATTTCCAGGCACCAGTGAGAGCACAGGCATGTTGTGCAGGATGGGATCGGCCTTGGAGGAAAGGCTTCTGACCAGAGACCCAACTATTCCTCAGTAAATCTGTCCTGAGCCCTCCTTCCCCTCACCACATGTTGGCCCTTTGCTGGACTGGGCAGGCTATTAGAGATAGGAGGAGCAGAGGTGGTACCTATTGTGGTGTGGGGATTCCAGTTGAAGGTGCCTCCTCTCCCGGAATCATCGATTCAGAGCTAGAAAAGACCTTAGAAGTCATCAGATCCAACCTTCCCATTTTACAGATGAGCAAATGGGGAGAGATGAAGTGACTTGCCCAGGGTCACACAGCTGGTAACTATCTGAGGCAGGATTTTAACTCAAGTTCCCCTGACTACAAGTCCATCATTCTATTCTGTCCTAGGAGAAAAGGTCGGGGAAGGGAAGGGACCAGAGTCTTTTTTCAGGTTGGCCTGGGTCCTTGGCCAATGATCTGCAGTGTTACCTTGAACACATGCTGTCTTCCTTCTCTGAGCCCTAGGGCTTCTGTGTCAAATGAGCAGATGGGGTATGTGGACCTAATCTGATATGTGGACCTGGTCACAAGACCTGGGAGCTCTCCTTGGTGCTGCTTGGCCCAGCTCCAGTATCCTTCAGTACCCTGACCGAGGCAGAGACTTCTCCCAAGGCATCTTCCTAGTCCTACTAGGACCCATCCCCCCCGGCTAGGGAAGCCGGGAGGAGATCCCAGGGCTCTGTGAGGCAATTCTCTTGGCTGGGGCCAGGAGAGGAAGGAGAAGGCTCTGCTCCATTATCCCCAACATTCGGGGGACCCAGGCCTGCTCTGGGGCCACCCTGCCGGTGGTTAAGATGGGCGAGGGTTTTGGAGGCAGTTTTCCCCTGAAAGGCCAGGCTGCAGAGCTTAGAGCTCCCTCACAAGCGTACTTTTAATCTCATTGACCTCTCGTTATACGACATCGCATAAATTCAGGTTTGGGGATCTTATGTTCAATCATAAATTGGGCTGGCAGACTTCCGATCAACAAGATAAAGCTGTCTCCGGTGAGGCGGTGTTTTATTTGTCTGCTTTGTGCTTGGCTGGGCCAGTGGGAGGCGGGGCAGTGGAGGGGGCTGGAAGGCTGTCCCAGAGCAGGAGCTGAGAACCCTGCCTCCAATCCAGAGGCACCCCTCTGCTGTACTCCTAGCGGTGGTGAGAGCTGCAAACACACACAGCCCCTCCTTGCCTGCTCCTCTCTTCCTTTTTCCTTCTTCCCCCTTTCCCTCTTCTGACCTCTTCCCCCTCTCCTATCTTCTCTCCCCTTTTCCCAGTCCTTTTTTCCTTCCCTCCCCCATTTCTTCCTTCCCTCCTTCCATTTTCCCCTTCCTGTTCTCATCATCTCCCTTTCTTTTTCCCTTTCTCATCCTCTCTTCTTTTCTTCTTCCTTCTCTTATTCCCTTCTTTTCTCCCTCCATCCTTGCTCTCCCTTCCTCCCCTTCTCATTCCCTCCCTTTCTTCCCTTATTCCCTTCTTCTTCTCTATTTTCTTGTTCTTTTATTGCCTTTCTCATTCCATCTCTTCTTCCTTTCTTCACTCTTCCTTTCCTCCTTCTCCTTTCCCCATTCCCTCCCTTCTTTTACTCCTCCCTTCCCTCTCTATCTCTTCCTCCTCTCCCTTCTTTTCTCTTTCCCTCCCTCTCCCTCCCACTTCATGTCTTCCTCCTGCTCTTTTCTTTTCTCTTTTCTTCCTTCCTGCCTTCCACTTTATATCCTTTCCTCTTTACTTCCATTCTTTTTTTTCTTCCCTCTCTTATTCTCTCCCCTTTTCTCCCTGGAGGTCTTTGGTGGGTAGAAGGAGTAGAGAAAGTTCAGGGACACAGGTAATGTCAGGGTTAAATAGAGAATATGCTGAGGGAAATGTGCTGGGAAAAGGTCCTATGGTGAGGCTACCACTTGTGTGTGAGTGGGTTCTAACCTGAATCAAGAACAAAACTGGGAGACTGGTTTCCTCAGAGCAAAGAGAGGGTTCTTGTCTGGGGCAGGTGAGGCATAAAAGGATTCATAAAAGACCCAAGACCCCTCAGGGGCTGAGGTCCAGGTGGACAAGCTGATAGGGCACCCCAGACAGGAGACACCCTCTACTGGCCTTCTCCACGGCATCCCCCACATATCCCAAAGGGATGCTTCTTTCTAGTTGACAGCTATGGTATTACAGTCCAGCTCCATACCTTCTCCCAGTCAGAATCCTTCGACCTCTGATCACCAGGGCCCTATGAGCTCTGTGTGCCAGTGTCCCACAGCTGCAAAGAATCGGGAGGGAATCAGAGGCTACAGTGCAGGTCGCAGCTGGCACCTGCCTTAAGATATTCAGGCCTCACTGCCCAGCTCTTCAGTATATTCTGCCTAAGACCTCAGGCAGCTCACAGCACAGCCTCATGTGATGTACCACAGAGACACACACAACAGAGGGAAATACAGATTTAGACAGGAGAGGACAGTCACTCAGAAAACCCACAGCTCCTGAACTGCATCCCTCGCTCTGCCTCAGAGAGGTCTCTTTCTTCTTCCAAAACATGCAACTTTGCCACCACCGTGGAATGGGCTAGCCTGCCACTACCTAGCAGCCTGCTTTCATCTGCTGCCTCGAGAGGAAGAAGAGCTAAGTCTTTATTAGGGCTATTAGTGGCAGCTGCTCCCTCTCCACCCCAAGAGCTCAGTTGTCCTGCCTTCCTGCTTGTGGTAACACTCCCACCTCATTCACTGTGTCAGAGCGAGCAAGGAGGGATGGTACGTGCAATAAAAATACAGCATGTCCCCATGGTCCAACTGAGTAAAATTAAAACAAATTTGGATTGTATTCTTTCTCCTCTTCCATCACCTTCCCTGCTACTCAACCCAGCTAGGCTTCCCCTTTCAGGCTGACCCCTCTAGCCTTATGCCTGAAGCTCTTCTGCCTGAAGCTTCAGGTACACTATGGCTCTTCCCCTTGGGCCCTGTTCATCAGTCCCCCCACCCACCC